AATCATTAACATCTTTTAACATGGTTTCAACTTAAAATCAAAGATTTTCATGGGGGAAATTGGATGTTTTGGGTAGAACCTAGGTTTTCCAAAAATTGGGGATTTAGACCTCAATTTGAGGTCCGATTTCAAAACAATTTATACATTTGGATTCGTGGGGGAATGTGTAGTTGGGTTTTGGTCCTCGGGTTTCGACCACATGGGCCCGGGGTGATTTTTGACTTTTTTGGTAAAACTTTGGGAAAACTCATTTTCATGCATTGGGGTTGATTCATTTAGCGCTTATTAATGTAATTAAGTAACGTGTGACTAGATACGAGCGGATTTGTGGTGGAATCAAGGGGGTAAAGCTATAATTGAGGCTTGAATGGTGTTCAAAGCTTCGAGGTAAGTGTTTGGTCTAACCTTAGCTTGAGGGATTAGGATTTGAGTCTTATTTGCTACGTGCTAATTGTCGAGTACGACGTATAGGCATGGTGACGAGTATCTATACGTTGGTGTCTAGCATGACCGTGAGTCTTTATATTGCAGATATTCTGATTTTTGCTGTATCTTTCATGCCTTAATGATGACTTCTATATGTTGTAAAAAGCATGTGAAAGAAATTATGATCTTTGAACTTCGAGAAGCATTGGCTCGAGTTATAATACGAATTGTGAAAGTATATGAGATAATTGAACCCTTTGGAGCATTGACTCAAGTGGTAAAGTGAGTTANCTCGAGTGGTAATACGAATTGTGAAAGTATATGAGATAAATGGAACCCTTTGGAGCATTGGCTCAAGTGGTAAAGTGAGTTATAAAGTAAGAAGTGAAAGAAAGAGAAAGAGTTATTGAATTGTTCCCTTGCCGGGATGCCTGTTGCTTTGTTGATTATCTCCCTTGCCAGGATGTTGAGATTTATTGATATTGTTCCCTCGCCGGGACTTAGCTGTTTAATTGTATTCCCTTGCCGGGATTTCTATTATTATTACTATTATTTGTTTAATCCCTTGCCCCTTGTTTGTGATTGTTGTTTGGGTGAGGAAGAGCGATAAATCACGAAGGGTGATGTCGTGCATTGTTTGCTATTGTGAGGAAAGAGTGAAAAGCACGAGGGGTGATGTTGTGTCGTACGATGTACCATTCTGTACCGATATTCATTGACTATATTGTGAGGAAAGAGAGTAAAAGCACGAAGGGTGATGTCGTGCACATTATTAAGATACGATTGATTTGGTAAGGACGAGAGTAAAAGCACGAAGGGTGATGCCGTGCACGTGTTGATTTCTGATTTCCTTGTTGATATCCGAGTTATGTTGTTTCTTTCATTACCTGCTGTTATTTGATTTACTTCGAGGTATTAGATTCTTACCCTATTTGCCTTGTGATTGTTATTTGGGTGAGGAAGAGCGTAAAGCACGAAGGGTGATGTCGTGTATTGTTTTGGTGAGAACGAGAGTAAGAGCACGAAGGGTGATGCCGTGAAATATATTCTAGTTATGTTGTTTCCTTCCTTACTTGATACCTTTCTATTCGGAACTATATTCACCTCCACAACATGTTTCCCCTTCCCACATTGACTTGTTATTCATGTATCTCTTTTCCACTATATATATATATATATATATATGAACTGCACAGGTTTATTTGGAGTCTGGTCCTAGCTTCGTCACTACTTCGCCGAGATTAGGCTGGACACTTACCAGCACATGGAGTCGGTTGTGTTGATACTACACTCTGTGCTTTTTTGCACAGATCTAGGTCTTGGATAGCAGCAGTAGCACGGGAGCTAGCCTTCAGTCCAGTGAGACACCGAGGTAGCTTGCAAGCGTCCGCAGGCCCGACGTCTCCTCTATCTTTTATTTCAGTCTGTTATCTTATGTTTCCGAGACAAATAGTTTATATTTTTCTTTCAAACGGTTGTATTTAATACTCTTAGAAGTTCGTGAGTAATGTGACACCAGTTCTTTGGTAGAGGCATATGTTGATTTCCTCATTATGTTAAGTTTCTTTAATTTACGTCTCCCGCATATTTATTTAATTCCATTGTTTTCATGATATTACTGATAATTGTCAAAAGAAAAAATTTGTTAATGAAGTAGCAGTTAAGAATTGGCTTGCCTAGCTCACATTAGTAGGCGTCACCACGACTCCCGAGGGTGGAAAATCCGGGTCGTGACACTATCAAAGTTCATCATCATTATTCAAAAACTTACACCATAACACCATTCACCAAAAAAAAATAAAAAATTGGGCAAATATCTATAATAGAGGCTCTCTATATACCATTCAGACATACCAACAGATATTTACCACGCGTGCAAGAGAACAATAACACTCCAAAGGAATGAAAAGACTCCACTCGATCACTTTTCACCTGGAACAAATTAACAAGAATTATCCGCGAACTGAGAAAAAAATAATAGGCAGATGTAATATAGAACTAGTTTCTCAGCTAGAAGTTAACTGTAAAATCAAGAGAAGAAGAGACTTGATATCAAGATACTTCCTGGGATTCTTAACACAAAACCACATTAGCATCACTACTACATATATAGGGAATAGATTGCGTAGAGAGCTCCACAGGGGGAAGAAGAATCTCATAGCTATACGAAATTTGATCGAGACAGGTCCATGAAGCATATTAGGCTATGTCACTCATTGACCATCTGTATATTATAGGTACTCAGACCAGCCGAGGCATATGGTTGCGGGTGCAGTCAGAATTATGCTCACTAATTAGCAACAACAGTAAAATTTAAGCCTGTAAAAATTGATACCACTTGAAAAAAGCGGGACAGATAGGTAAGACCTTTTGATTCAACTGGTGGAGCAATGGAATTTGGTAATCTGCTAGAAGACGCAATGCTGGTACTGAATTATTATACTCAATTGCAAGACAATTTGTTACCTGTTTTACAGTATTCACTAATAATCATAGGAGACAATAACAAAGGATTATCCCACTCGAATAATATACTCTACCCTCCATTAGGAGAGTCCAATTGACAAGCGTCCAGGCTCAAGCCAAAGGACCTGATATGAGAACTCAGGCATGGCCAAGGAGGACAATTACTCAGCCCTTTCTTGGCCCTAAGGCCTGATAGGTTCCATGAAACAGAAGACTTGACAACCCCCCCCCCCCCCAAAAAAAAAAAAAA